CGTCCCTTAGGGCCATTTCGGCCTTTATTTATAATACTAAATTCGTCGCTTACAAATGCGACTTTGCACTTATTATTACTTTAAGGCTACTAAATGTTATTTACACTGATCTATGTAATATCTTTGAGGATGTATAATTTCTCCTCTCATCCTCCCTTCTGGATTTAATTATGTTTAGAATAAATTGTTTTAGATTCACGAACACCACCATTTTTTTCTAGCACATTCTAATAGTTGTTTTTTGTGATTGACAATAAAATGTGTAACCTGTGATATTGATATGTATAGTAATCGCATTGAATATGAAATATTAAACGACTATTGAACATTTCATAGTGTAATAAATATATTTATTTAATTTAAATTTCCATTCCCGGTTTTTCGTATAATTATATACAATAGTAATGCTATGTCACCCTCCTAGTTGATAACTAACAAATAATAATAAAGAGAAAATAAAGAAAATATAGTAGTAAAACTAAATTTAACGGAACATAACTAATGAATAACAATAATGAGAAAATAAAAAAGTAGTAGAAATGAATTTGATAAATAATATAGTAAAATTCAAGACTAATTTTTTTAACAGTCTTCAGAGCCACAGATAATATACTTAATATCATCCGATTATATTTTACTAATTTCAGCTCTTCAAAGAACAATTCCTCTTTTGCCCTTTCTTATTGTATGAAATCCGTAAAACAAGTACCCCAAAACACTATAATTATATTTTTAAAACTATCCATTACATTTTTTATAAATGTCATATAACTTGACATTTTTTATAAGGAAACTTTTCACCCATTAATTTAGGAATAATTAAGCTAAACAATTGATAAAATCAAAAATAACAAGTAAACCATATAAAGAAAAAAAATATAAGTTGTTATAAATATATTCTTATCATCGTATGAACCAGTAGCCAAAGAATAAAGAGGAATTCCGAAGAGTATAGTAAAAAATATAATGACGCACACATATCATATAATAAGTGTTAATGTTAGATTATGAACAATGTTTTTCATAGAATATAATGGCAGACTATCGTTTTCTTCTTGTTCAAAAAAATATAATTTGTTTTCCTTCAATATTCTCTTTGAAAGAAATCCAATGCTTTATTTTTCGTTCCTTTTTCAAAGAAATCAGCCTTTTTATGTTTTGGTTCGTCTTCATGTTTAAAGAAATCCGTCTTACTATTTTCAATTTCATCATCTTTTTCAAAGAAATCAACCTTTTTATGTTTCGGTTCATCTTCATGTTTAAAGAAATCCGTCTTGTTATTTGTAGTCTCATCATCTTTTCCAAAGAAATCAACCTTTTTATGTTTCGGTTTATCCTCATGCTTAAAGAAATCTGTCTTTTTATTTTTTGGTTCATCACCCAATGTATCTTTTATTTCACCATCATTTTTTTCGCCGTCTTTTTTTGTTGGATCCTGATCTATATTTTCTTTTTCAATATCGTAATAGTCGGCCATTATTTTTTTTTAGAATTGTTATAATCTTGAATGAATTTTTATTAACAATTTTGTAGGTTTTGGTCCTTTAAATATTTGATAAATTCTTATTATATTAGTCATCAGACAACAAAAAAAGTATTAATTGAATGCAAACCTTTATGCAAGAACTATAGTACTTTGCTTGGCAAATCAATACGGATTGGGATACATCATACTTTATCGATCGATGACATCACCTAGTTGCGTCATATACAAAAAATTGTAATTGAGGCGCAACTAGTTACGTAAATAAATCTTCATTCAGCATATCATAAATGTGTAGATTGGCGAAAATTAAATTCTTAAAATTCGTAATGCTAGGGTTAGGGTCAAAGTTAGGATAGTTTACATGGTAAAATCGATCAACGAAAACTTTTTGTTAGAGCACGAAAGGTGGCTTCTTATGCTGATATTTAAGCTATGTGCAATTTTTGGCAGAACGTTGGTTTTGAATCCCCCTGATCGTGTTACGTTGCACAGGCACACAATCTACGTAACAATTAATCAAGAAAATAAAATTTAGTAAATCATATTTGTTTAAATTAAAAGTTAAACAAGCATTGGGTTACATCATAACGCTTATTTTTTTATGCTTTAAGAAACTGCATAATTTATATAAGATTAAGTACGTAGTGAATCTGTGACAGGTTATGCCGATTACCAAATCAAAACTTAATATTCGATATTTTAAAAATGTTCTCGTATAACGAAAATTTCGGGCTGAAAACTTTTATTTAGAAGTCAAACTGCGGTTATTAAGTTTCATGAGATCTTGTAATTGTATTGGATACAATCAGACAGATTCAGTACATGCTAAGGTTAACGAGTTACTAAGTAAAACAACAATTCGAAATATCTAGATTTTTTAAGCAACACACTATTAATTAGAAAGTTCGAATAAATGTATCAAATGATGTGTTAATCGAATTAAATCGAATTTAAACGAATTTAAACAATTGAAATCGATGTAAATAGTAGCATTTTTTTTTAGAAATTGAAGATCATGCTTTATTCATTTATTATCTTTCATACATAGTTTCACTTAGTGCTAGCATTAGATGCTCGATACATATAAAAGAAAACTTGAATTTTCATTTTAATTCACTATTAAATTTAATGACAATGTTGAGTAATGTGAAACAGAAAGGGTTCATAAAATTAAAACCAATAATAATAAACATCATGTATTTCAAGTTTATTTATTGGAGTTTATTCACCGGTTCTTAGTTCATGCTTATTACCAGTTCTTGAGTTCGGACTGATCCGGAATTTTTATATTTCCTTATGATTATATGTATTTATTTTCTTTTTGTTTAATGTTTATTAACGACTTTTTAACACATTTCCAAAAAGTCACTTAGTAAAAGAAAGAAAAAAAAACAGCGGATAAAAGAAACTTCACGATCAATAAGCTAAACTTTTACGAAATACACTGCTTTTAATTGAAAAATAGTATAGAAGTGTATAAATAGAAACATGGAACAAATCATTTATTGTCCGCTTCGCTGGGGTGATCGATCAGCAAATCCAGCATTACCATAGGATGGTAGCTCGTTGAAGGTGATCTGCATGGCGCAGTAGCGAATTAATGAGTACCCGAAAAAAATTGACGGTCATTGAGAGATTCTATTCGAACATCGACATTCTGATTGGACAAAATTAATCAAAATATAATTTTTTTCCAAACTTGAGCGAGAATATCTCGATAACCACTATCTAAAATCAACAGAAATTTTTTTATTCCGATTCTATCTATCTGTATAATTAAAAGAAACCATTTTTTATTAATTTTAGATAGGTGGTTGTTGAGATATTTTAGCTCAAAGTTGGAAAAAAACTTAAATAACTTAACAAAATAAGCTGCGACAAAGTTTTTTTCAAACTTTGAGCGAAGATATCTCGACAACCAGCTATTAATATTTAATATATTTTATAGTATTTTATTTTAATTATACAGATATATAGAATCGAATAAAAAAAATCTCATTGATTTTAGATAAGTGGTTGTCGAGATATCTTCACTCAAAGTTTGAAAAAAACTGTCACGGCTTTTGATTGTTATCCAAGTTTTTTCTTAATTTTGAGCGAAGATATCTCGACAACAACCTATCTAAAATCAGTGAATTTTATTTTTTATTTCGATTCTATATATCTGTAAAATTATATAAATATATATATTAATTATTGATAGGTGTTACTATTGTAAATTGGGAAGTGGATAACGTGGTGAAGTTTAGATCCAATAGTTAACTTTGATATGACTTATAGCAATCTCATCCCAATGTAGAATTATGTAGAACTTTTATGTAGAATTATGTAAAATTTTTATGTAGTTTTATAGGGAAATTCTATTTTGACCCGGGTCAAAATAACCTCACCTAAAATTTAGGGTTAGTGCGAGCCAAAACTATGTTGATACCGACCAGGGTTTTTTAATATAAAAACCCGGCCGACATTACGGCCCGCACTAACCCTAAATTTTAGGAGGGGTCATTTTAACCCGGGTCAAAATAGAAATTTCCAATTTTATAAACCCAATGTAGATTTTTATAACTATTTATATAAATTTATATATATTTCTATATAGGATTAGATTTTAAAGTTTAATTTAGGGGTTTGTGAAAGGTTTTCGAGCTTGTTGAACATTTTACTTAGTGCATCGATCGGTGATTACCTTAGCCACTTTTGAGAAATAGCTGAAGTAAATTAAACCGTTTCTATATAGATATAAATAATAGGGAATTGATTTTTCCACACCTATTTTTGTTTGTGCCACACCCGGGTGTTATATATCACATATGTATCATTGTCACATCCAACGGCGCAACCATGCTACCCGTGATATCCGACAAGTGTCAGAGCTGCGTGTGTGGTTGATGAACAAAAGCTAATAAATTTGCATAAATTTTGTATGATTAACTTGATTAACTTAGTGATAATGATATGTATAAAAAGAGAAAAAAATAAGAAAAGCTCTATTCGATTGTAAAATTATTACATATCATAAAAAACAAAAAAAGTCGACCGTTAATATTTGAACTGAATATAATAAATTTACTACACTACGACTTAATTACTATGCTTGCTCCACCCGTAGATCAATTTTCAAGTCAGGACTTGCTGATTAAATATGTACGAGAATTTGGTGCTTTTAATGGCTATGGTGTATCCATCACGAGGTCAAAGCCAAATAAGGTTTACTTAGGTTGTGACCGTGGAGGAAGTTATAGAAATCGGTTGAACCTTACAGATGAAACCCGTAAAAAAAAAACAAGTTCTCGGTTAATAAATTGTCCATTTTCGGTCTGTGGTAAAGAAGAAAACGGTCTGTGGATGCTGTCTATTCGTAATCCAAATCATAACCATGGACCATTAGAGAATATAATGGCTCATCCAACTCTTCGAAGAATGAATAAGCAAGCACAAGATCAGGTAAAAGAAATGACAAGGGCTGGTGTCTGTCCTCGTGAAATATTGTCTTCCCTTCATCAGAATGACCATTCAATTTCAGTAATCTCATGGGACATATATAATCTTTGTACAAAGATTCGCTTAGAAAATTTGCAGGGTCGTACACCCATTCAAGCACTTTTGAAGGAGCTTGAAAATGATCAGTATGAATATGACTATCAGTACGATGCTAATGGGCATGTAACGCATCTCTTCTTCTCCCACCATAAGTCTATTAAACTGGCACGTACCTATTCTTCTGTCTTATTTATGGACTGCACTTATAAAACGAACAAGTTCGGAATGCCTCTTCTTGACGTTATTGGTGTAACTAGCTTCAATACAACATTCTTCATATGTTTTGTATTTCTTAAAGATGAAAGAGAAGAAGATTATAAGTGGGCACTTTCTCGAGTTTCTCATTTATTTGACGGAATTAAAAAACCCAAAGTTATTATTACGGACCGGGAGTTGGCTCTTATGAATGGAATTAGACAAATATTTTCAGATTCCAAAAATATTTTATGTATATGGCATGTGGAGAAAAACATATTAGCCAAATGTAAAACTCATTTTCATAGTGGAGAAGAATGGGAGGAATTTCTTCGATGTTGGACGGGAATAACAAAGTCAAAAACGGAGGAAGATTTTATTGTTAATTGGTCAGAATTATGTAACAGATATAACGAAAATTATCCATTAATAATTAAATATATTCAAGACACATGGCTACCATTCAAGGAACAATTTATTAGTGCATGGGTTGACCATTGTCTTCATTTGGGAAACACAGCTACATCTCGTGTTGAAGGTGCTCATGCAACATTAAAAAAATACTTGCAAGTTTTGACAGGCAACTTGTATATAGTATATGAGAAAATCTCTTTTTATTAGAAAACCAGCATAAAGAGATTGATGCAATGGTTGCCAAAGATAAAACTCAGATTCCTCATGCTCAAAATATACCTTTTTATGCTCAGTTGGTCACTAAAATTTCTTTATTCGCATTAAGAAAAATACACGAACAATTTCTTAAAGCCTCACGTGCAACTCCTGATAATCCTCTGGGACCTTGTAATAATACTTTCAGCTCATATATGGGTCTTCCATGTGCACATGTCATTCAAGAGTGCTTTGCAGCAAATAAATCATTAAACCTTACCGATATTCACCAACACTGGTGGATTGAAAACCGCCAATTAACTTTACAAAACAATTCTGAATCTGAATCATTTATACCTTTGTTGGATCCGAAAGTTCAGCGTACTAGAGGGCGACCGGTTGGTTCATCTAATAAATCTCTAACTTCTACCAAAAGAAACCCATCGGCTTTTGAGTTAGAAGAAAACGGCAGGAGATGTACTAAGTGCAAAGGTATCGGCCACAATAGAAGAACATGCTCTGCCATGAATGTGGATTAAATGCTTCGATTATTAATGTTTTTTATTGCATGTTACAATAGTCAAATTATAGTATGAAAGTTTTATGTAATTAAATTGAATAGCAAATTTGCTTTATTCTGCAATTAAAATCACACACAAATTGTTCAATCGTTTAAAACATCATTTTTATTGATCAATTTTATTATGTACGCACAACTCAATTATTCTATCGCTTTTACTATAAATACATATTCTGTATTAACTTATATTGCGGGCAACATGACTATGCCGTTGGATGTGACAATGATACATATGTGACATATAACACCCGGGTGTGGCACAAACAAAAATGGGTGTGGAAAAATCAATTCCCTAAATAATATTACATGGATTTTATATTTATATAAATAATAAATAAAATTATATATAAAACTTACATAGTTACATATAAAAATTCCTACATTGGGTTTGTAGGCCTATATAAAAATTTTATATAATGTTTATACAACCTTATAGGGCTTCATAAAGTTTATAAAAAAACCAATTTCATGATGCTAATTGTTATTAACAGAGGTTGCAGTTCGATAATCTATATATAATAGGATCGATAGTAGTTTACTCGGAAGGGGTTCGTAATTTAAGGAAGGGGTCAGATTTAATATAATATCGATAAGGGTGGCGTTATTCTTAAACATATAATAAATCAATAACTTAGTGATCCAAACAGTGATCACTATATCGATAACAACTGCTCTAGTACTAATCTAAACGAATTGATCCTATTAACAATCCTTTATCTAATCGTATATCGTTATTTGTAATGTTTCTATACTATAAACTTGTTAAGGATATGGCTCTTAATTACTCAGTGAAATGTCTATTCGACCTCAATGCTAACTTCCTTTATGTTAACCAAGAGACCCAGCGTATACATTATTATCTAATAATTCAATAAACGTTGTGAGGAATCGATTATTTATGTCGCAGGTTTAAGATGACTTATGATTGGTTTATATTAAGAAAGCTAGAAATATTTAAATGCGAATTAATAATGATTTATTTTATAGGACTTTTTATTGATAACAATTGATAACTAATTGAGAACTCTCGTTTAGAAAGGCCAAGAGGACCTATATTTATACTTTCCTATTCTTATAGAGACGAAATTATTATTCTCTTTATTCACTAAGTCCTACAACGTATACGTTCTATTATCATCGTGTATATTATCACGTATACGTTCTATATGATATTGTTTATATGTTCCGATTTCTCTCGGTCAATCATCACGTAGCCTGTAACATATACGTTGTAATCTGCTGAGTAAATCCCTAATTTGTCTTGAAGCCATATCCCTCCCCACAAGCCTCACATATATACACTAAGATAAAAATGGATATTATATAGATTAAATAGAACAAAAATTGAGAAAAAATTGAAATGAGCTGTGATTTTAGGCTGGGGACCCGTTCAGATTCCAACACCAATCATAACCGTAACCGACCCACCCCTACTTGGAATACACTGCAGGAAAAGAGAAATGTTAACTAGAGGACTTGTTTATTATAACTGAGTTTCAACACAGCACATCCTAATTATTCAAGTTTTACTTGCATTTCTAATTTAAACCATAAAAACCACTAGTATAGCTAGAACTATTTTTTTATTTTGAATTGCTATTCGGCAATCTGTAATTTCCAATAATGTGATCTAATATAATTAAAAATCATAACGTTAAACCTTTTTACATAATTAATAGTTACATACAAAGAACAATATTACTTGTTAATTTTTTAAAAGTAAATCATATAGGCATTTATTCTCCCGAATTTTCAATAGACATAAATTACGAATTCTTAACTTTGGAAATGGTACCTTTCATTTACCTTCTCACTTATATAGACCTGTTTTGACTCTACCTTGTTCCTAAATCTCTAACTTTACAATTAACCAGATCTATATGGAAGGTACTTAGCTGTTTCTATCTAGACTTAACGCAGAAAGCATTGAATGTACATAGCTGTCATCTTTGTGAATGGTGTAGAAAGTATACGATCATTTTAATTCAATATCTGGTTTGAATAGTATAAAACGTATATAGTTGTTGTTTTTTAAAATGTTACAGTTAAAGATGGGCACGCGCGGGATTTTTTTTAGAGCTCGCGTGGATTTTTAGTATGGTCCCAAAAAAGATTATCTGGCCGGCATTATCATAAATTCTAGCCAGCATTAACATATTTAGCTAATTTCTAATTAGGATTTATTTATTTATTTATTTACATACCATTTCACACATATGTATATCTATATATATGATAAGCATTTACCTTCTTTGCCGTTGGTATCTTTTGCTTACGTACCAAAAATTTTTATTTTATGATTAAGTTGCTCTTTAAAAATAAATATAACATGCGTGGTAATGATGATATTTGGAATCATCTTACAAAAATTGGACCAGATGAAAGCTATGAAAGCTTTAACCAAGGACGTACTCAATTTAATTACCATGATTAAACCTTGCAAATAAGATGTGGAAATTCACTATTTTGATTGGTCAACGGCAACGATCAAAAACTTAAACAAAATTACTCAAATTTTTACTAATGAAATCGTGGCCGCACATTAAGTTTGGAAAATTACCATAATTTAAGTTTGTATAAGTTTCTGAAATTAAAGTTACATGTGATTTGTGAGAAACGTGATCATTCTATAATACGATTCAATATGATTGCTTTGATTATATGCGCATCAATTTGATTAGTAAGCTTTATGCAAAGTCTATTGAAATTCAATAACGACAGCTAAATTTTTCATAGTGCTATCACACGTGTGAAATTTACATGTCACTAAAACTTATGTGAAATTACACGTATTGTAAAATATAATTTTCAATCTTAAGTGACATATAATCGGGCTAATTTTACAATTGCACAATCCAAACACATAAATTTTCCATTTTTGCAATTAAAAACTAAAAAATTGAATTCTGGCCAAAATTATGTTGTCATAGATAAAACCGCTGACTTGAAAATGATCATCATAGTAGTTTCACTTCCAAATTGGTAGTACAATGATGATCTACATAAAACATATGTGCCAGGTCACCGATCGAAGAAAAATTGTACATCAAGACTTAATGTGGAAACTTACCACCTAATCAAATAAAGGAAAGGTCAATTGAGACTTATTAATTTACATAGTGTTGGGCATTAGCTCAATTTTGCCCTATATGAATAAGTGTGAGCAGTGACAAAGGAGTGCAATTGTGATAATAATATTAGGATTTGATTATGAGAAAATTGATACTGAAACATTTCTCTTATGTTCTATTTTGATCATAAGAAATGTTAAAATAATAAAAAACTGTGTACAAAAGATTGTAGTTAGTACTAATAAGGTGAAACAGGATTGGAATTATATATTAGTAAAAGAAAAAAGGTTCACTCTTGTACTTAATTTTCTTATAATAATTTTGTTATAAATAAAAGTGAAATTTTGTTAATAAAGACTTTTTAATCTATTAAACAATAAAAACTTTTTAAAGTTTCTATTCTTATTTAATAATGCTTTTGAAATTCATCTTAATCTGTACCAAATCATAACTATTTGTTTAAATTTTTAAGTGATATTATAAAATATTGATGAATTTTAAATGACAATTCATCACATTTTTTCTGTTTGTTGATGTGTATAATTCTGTCCAATTAGTTTTTAATAATATATAATGCAGATAAGAAATTTGTTATTGGCCAATCAAAATTAAAAATCAGATTAATCATATATTTTTTGTAGTTTAATAAATTTCGCATAGAATTTTTAGAGAAACTATAATTTGTACATTTCTAGTTACAATTATTTTAACTTTGCTAATAATTCATAAAAATTTATATTATTAATTAGTATTAAAATTTAGCTGTTATTTTTCTAAATAAAGTAGAAAGAAAACTTTTATATTATTCAAAAAAGATTTTTATGCAATAAAGAAAAAAAAATACAACTTAATTTTTGATATTGTAAAAATTTTTAAATATATTTTAAATGTTGAATAATATATATATATATTAGCTTTTATAATATTCTTATTACATATAATATATTAAAGATGATTTTAATTTAGTAATATTAATTCTTTAATACAAACTATTTTTATTTTTAAACTTAGTTATTAAAAATTATTTATTTATTTATTTATTTTTATTTTTGATTACAATTTACTAATTACCTTTTAAGCAAATTATTTACAAAATGAATATAGAAATATTAATACTACTTTATTAAAAAGTATACAAATGTTAGTATTGCTTTTTTTAAAAAACCTTCTTGTATAAGCTTTTATAATCAAGGCATTTTATAATACTACTATTATATATAATGTTATCACTCTGCAATTAGGTTTCTTCTATAAATTTTATTCTAAATTTATGCTTGTATTTAAACTTTATTTATAGTACTTTATATATAATTATAATTCTATTAAGTTACAAAAGTAAAACCCAGTATTGATTCTATTTCAAATAAGTAAAATTCTAATATTCTAATTAATTTATATAATAATACTATAATTTTAATAAAAATTTAAGTTACAACTTTATATGTATAACATCATATTACTTATAAAAAAATATAATAATAATTACAGAAAATATTGTAATTAAAGTTTTTTTTATTAAAAAATAAAAATAATATAATTACTTACTAATAACCAAAATATCTTATTTTGCTATTGTTTGCATAACCATCTAAAATGCTGAATATATTTAACTAATAAATTATATTTATTTTATAAATATTTGAATTATATATAATATTAGTAACGTTACTATGATACAAATACTACTTTATAAAAACTAAAAAAGTAATAAACATTATAATGTTATAATATTAATTAGAGAATTGTTATTCATTACTAGTGGTGACAGTTACACGAGTGATCTTCATGTTGCACTTAATCCTGCAAAATTATTGACTACTTACACAAAGGTGATAATTACATAGCAAACTTCTATATATATATGTTGTGCCTCAGACTAACGCCTGCC